GCAGGCGTCAGCATCATATTCACATGTCAGAGATTCCGATATTCACATGTCAGAGATCCGACACTGCAAAGGATCCGAAGCTCGCCTCGAAGGCAGAGAGCAGGCGTCAAAAGTGGCTTACCGCGGGACAACCAACGGCTCGCTAATGCCGCTTGGCCGGTTCCCAGGTCGATGCTGAGGGTGTTGAGGGTATTTTATGTCAACCATACTAGAACCTTTTCTTTCGCTTCTGGGGGTGCCCTGTCTTCTGGTAGCAGGTGACACGCGAGCGCGAAATTACCAACAAGCTCTTTTTGACAATGGGCATGAAACTGGCTACGCGCCCAAATGTTGAAAGTTGTGCTGGGCGTGAGGTCGCTGCGCCTGGCGCGATGAGTCGCGCTGAGCGCTTCGCCGGGGGCTCGTGACCGTCTCCGCTCCGACCGGGTGGGGGGCGGGTCAGGTTCGCGTGGCCCTGGCGCAAACCAGAGCGACATATCGCGCCGCGAAGGGGGGTGAAGCCTTCGGCGAGGGGATTGATTCTGTCACCGACCCCCGTTTTGCCCCGCTTCTCGCGCCTCTGCCACCGCGCCGCGATGGGCCGGCCACGGGCGCTGCTTCCTCCTCGGGCGTGGCGTCATCCGGCGGCCTTGCTCCTGGCGACGCTGGCTGGGCCGGCGGCGCCGCTGCAGCTGCTGCGCCGACTGCGGCGGCGGCGCGGAGGCCGAGGGCGCCGCCGCGTCGGCCGCAAGGCCCGCGCCACCTGGCCTGCAAGCGCTGTCGGAGCGGCACTCGCAGGACGATCCCAGGGGCACGGTGGCGCGTTCCCTTGGAGCACTACCGCGACAACGCGCGCCGCTACTGGTCATGTCGTTTGAGAGACTGGATCTACATTGACGAGAACGATTGCGAATACATCAGGGTTGATAGTATCACAACCCGTACACTAGGGCTCAGGGTAATTTCAGTTGGGATCTTGCGCACTGCGATCCCAACAGGGTTCGTTGATCGGATGCGTAAATACAACGCTTGGATTGACTTCCGGATGATTCGGTTTCGTCACATGTTTTGACATTATGGGGGCACTTTCAGATGATAGGACTCCGTCGCATACTTTGTGGCATTATGGGCGTGCAAGCACCCTGGCAGGTCGCCCTCTACCAAATACGTAATCAGATCGTCGACCTTATGGGCCTAAACACACCTGGGCAGGTCGCCCGTCGCAAATATTATCGTTTCGCGCACCTCGTTTTTTTTTTTTTTTTTTTGGGGGGGCTGTCGGATGCACGCAGTACGGCGCGTGTCAAGTTCCAATGGTTCCTTTCAGTAGAGTTATCTTCTTGAAGCTAAATCCGGTATAATGTACCGCGAACGACGTTTAAGCTTTCCCTATTGTAATCAGCTGTCGTAGCAACTTGGATCATGCATGCAATCTCGATTGAGTTGATTTAAGGGATTGGAGTGCCCAGTGAATGAGTGGTTCTTTTGCTAGTAGTTCGTGCAGTTGCCATCGCAACTTCGATCGCAGCACGGCTGAATTCAGGATTGGGGTTTCAATGCGCCCGCGCATTTTGATGCGTATCGTATTAGAATTGAATATGCGCTGTGAGCGCATTCCTGCACGCAATACATTGTGCGCGGGTGGAGGCACCTGCGTCGTTATACTTGACGCAGGACTGTATGTTCTGTTTTTTATTATTACTCTCCCAACCCCGTCGCTTGTGGTGGCGGGGAGTCGCCCAGGAATGCCGAAGCGTTTTGGGGGGCGTGCCCTGGGCCCGCTACAGGCGGGTAGATTATTTTAAATGCCCCGTGCGACGTGGTTGTTTTTTCCCCACCCGCCTAGCCGAGGCGGAACTCGGTTGGGGGCTGCAGGGGATGGATGGGTGCGCTGAGTGGTCCTCGCACCTCTGTTTCCGAGTCCCGCCTCTGTCTCCTGTGGGCATTTGGTCCACGCGGAGCGGGCGGGATTCGGGACGGGGTGCGCGTGTGAAGTCCGTTCGTATCATTTTTTGTCCATCCATCCTGCTATCCCTTCGGCTCAGGTGTTGATCACCCTGCGCGCCCCTGCTTCCGCGGGCGAATGGAGAAAAGAGACTCCTCCTTTGAAAGAGCGTGTTCTACCGCTGCTGGCGGAAAACCGGGAGGGGGGGTCACTACCGGTTCGAACCCTTCCCCCCCCCTCCGGAAAACCTGGGGGGGTCACTACCGATTCGAACCCCTCCCCCCCCCCCCGAGTTCATAATGAAAAGGGGGGGGGGATTGCTGCCGGTTCGAACCCCCCCCCTCCCCCCCTCGAACTCGAAAACCGAGGGGGGTCACTGCCGGTTCGAACCCCCCCCGCCTCTCGAAAACCGAGGGGGGGGGCGGACCGGTGCCGACACTTGGTGGGGACGGCGATGGTGGGGACAGCGGCGAGGGGACAGCGGGACAGTGGTGGGGACAGTGGGACAGTGGTGGGGACGGTAGTGGTGGGGACAATGGTAAGGACAATGGCGGGAGCAGTGGGGACAGTGGGACAGTGGAGGGTACGGTGGTGGTGGGGACAGTGGTGTGGGGAGAGTGGGAATGTGGTGGAAACAGTAGGACAGTGGAGGGTACAGTGGTGGTGGGGACAGTGGTGAAGGCGGTGGCGAGGACGGCGGTGGGACAATGGGACAGAGGTACAGTGGGGACAGTGGTGGGGACAGTGGGGACAGTGGTGGGAACAGTGGGACAGCTCAGTGGGACAGCGGAGGAGTCAGTGGGACAGTGGGGACAGTGGGGATAGTCGGGCAGTGGTTGGGGCCGTGGAGAAATTTTATAGAGTGGAACCGTGGTGGGAGCAGGTGGGGACATTGGGGACAGTGCGACAGTGGTGGTGGCACTGGTGGGGACAGTAGGGGCGGTGGTGGAACCAGTGGGGACAATGGTGGTGAGGACAGTGGTGTTGGGAACAACAGTGGGGGATGTGGTGAGGACGGTGGTAGGGACCGGGAGTCGTTTGCTGTCGTTTGCTGGCGGTGAGAGGGTGGGGTGGGGAGGGGGAGGGCTCGAACCGGCAGTGACCCCCCCCCTCCGGTTTTCGAGGGGGGGGGGTCGAACCGGTAGTGACCCCCCTCGGTTTTCCGGAGGGGGGGGGGGGGGGAGGGGTTCGAACCGGTAGTGACCCCCCCTCGGTTTTCCGCCAGCAGCGGTAGAACCTCCGGTTTTCGAGGGAGGGGGGGGGGGGCTTCGAACCGGTAGTGACCGCCCCCGGTTTCCAGAGGGGGGGGGGGGGATGGTTAGGGAGGGCGGGGGTTTTTGCCGGGGGAAGGGCGGGGAGGGGGGGGGGGAGTTCCAGCAGGGGGGGGGGATTTTCGGAGGGGGGGGGAGGGGGGGAACCCTGGGTTCTGGAGGAAAAGGGCGGCAATTCTTTACGCTTCGCGTATCCCCACCAGCCCATCTCACAGCAGCAACTCTTGCGAAGCATGGCGACAGTCGTGTTTTTCAGGTGTGTGTCCGCTTGGCCCCGCATATCTCCCCTGTTCCTTGTTCCTCCCGCCTCCTTGTACATCCTCCTTGTGGGGGGAGCGGGAGAAGGACGAGGCGGAGGAGGAGGGAGAGAAAGCGCTCCTCGTGATTTGAGTCGTTTGGGGTTTCTCGTCCTGGTGTGAGTCGTTCGGGCCCTTCTTCCTGGTGTGAGTCGTTCGGGCTCTTCGTGGTGTGAGTCGTTCGGGCTCTTCGTCCTGGTGTGAGTCGTTCGGGCTTCTCGTGGTGTGAGTTGTTCGGGCCCCTCATCCTGGTGTGAGTCGTTCGGGCCCCTCCTCCTGGTGTGACTCGTTCGGGCTCCTCGTGGTGTGAGTCGTTCGGGGCCCGCGTCGTGGTGTGAGTCGTTCGGGCTCCTCGTGGTGTGAGTCGTTCGGGCGCCTCGTCCTGGTGTGAGTCGTTCGGGCCCTTCCTTGTGGTGTGAGTCGTTCGGGCTCCTCGTGGTGTGAGTCGTTGGGGTCTCTCGTCCTGGTGTGAGTCGTTCGGGCTCCTCGTGGGGCCTCTTGGGGGCCTCTTGGAGCTTCTTGGGGCCTCTTGGGGGCCTCTTGGGGGCCTCTTGGGGGCCTCTTGGGGGCCTCTTGGAGCCTCTTGGGGCCTCTTGGGCGCCTCTTGGAGGCCTCTTGGGGACCTCTTGGGGCCTCTTGGGGGCCTCTTGGGGGCCTCTTGGAGGCCTCTTGGGAGCCTCCTGGGGGCCTCTTGGGGCCATCTTGGGGCCTCTTGCGACCTCCTCAGAAGCGCAGATGAGCGCTGCCCCCTGAGAAGGACAAAATGAGCCCAAAACCTTCGTAAAATCAATGATTTTGCTATGAGGGAAGATGAGCGCGGCCCCCTCAGAAGGCCAAAATGGGGCCAAAACCATAGTAAAATCAATGTTTTTGGCTTCAAAGACGAGCTGAGGCGCCAAACTCCCTCCCCCCCCCGGGGCCAGAATCCTTGTGAGGGTCGTCGTTTTTTGGCCCTCCCAGGAGTCGAAAAAGACCCCTCCAACCACCCGCGGCGCCCCCTCTCCAGGTCCAGGGGGAGGGGGTAGGGGGAGGGGTAAACCCCTCCCCGAAGGGGAAGAAGGGGGGTTGGGGGGTTGAGGACAGAGAAAGCTCGCTAAACCACTCACGCCCAAAGGGCTGGTGGGATTTTCCACAGTAAAGCGGCGGTGGATCACGCTCTCTCATCTCTCCCTATCGTCCTCTACCTACGGATCATACAGTAGGTTTGACTCTGTGGTTGCCAGCTTCCGTTCGCAGTTTTTGGGGCCTTTTATACCGTCTAGAGGCCATCTGGGGAGTCTCGGAGCGATCTTTGGGCGACTCTGGTCCCACTGGACAGTACTGGGGGCTTTTTGACGCCCTGTAGGCCCACCTGGGAACCATCCTGCTTCCGAGGAGGTCACGCGAGCCGAAACGAGAGCGCCCAGGAGATCTGGCAGTTGGGGGCCTCGGCCAATGACAAAAATGCAGGGACCTCGCAGGGACATGAGGACACTCCAGTTCGTGCTTCGAGGCGCGGTGGTGGATAAGGTCACCTTTTTCCGGGCCGACGAGCTGCGCGCGGGCGCCAAACCTGGGAGCCTCAAGACATTGAAAGACGAGTCCGGGAGCCTCAAGGCAGAAGAGGTGGCAGCCGCAACCGTCGACAAGGGCAAGGGTTCCGCGGTCGCCGACGAGGGAACAATTGCGGCGGAGCCCGAGGAGGAGCTGGGCTGCGATGTCGACGACCCGTTCGCCATGATGGGCGGCATGGGCGCGGAGCAGGTCTACCAGGTCACGTGCGTGGCGGAGGGCGCCACGGCAGAGCCGGACATGGAACCAGGAGTGGATTGCGCCGAGGAGGCCAAGAACGGAGCAGCCTTGCAGCCTCAGGAGGAGGAGGCCGAAGGGGACGTGGAAGACGATCCTTTCGCCATGATGGCAGGAATGGGTGAGGAGGAGGTTTACAAGGTCACAATTGTCCAGGAGAAGGAAGCGGAGGAGGAGGCCGCGGGAAACGTGGAAGACGACCCGTTCGCCATGATGGCCGGAATGGGCGAGGAGGAGGTGTACAAGGTCACATTGGTCCCGGAGAAGGATGAAGAAGAGGAGGCCGCTGGAGACGTGGAAGACGACCCGTTCGCCATGATGGCAGGCATGGGCGAGGAGGAGGTGTACAAGGTTACCCTGGTCCCGGAGAAGGAGGAGGAGGAGGAGGAGGCCGCGGGAGACGTTGAAGACGACCCGTTCGCCATGATGGGCGGCATGGGCGCAGAGGAGGTGTATCCAGCCGCCTTCGACAAACGCCGCCTCAGACATCCATCAGTCTTCCAGAACAGACTATGTAGACACACCGTGGTGTCGTCTGGGAGGCAGCGTTACGACGCTGTGGCGCGTCGTGGCTCTGACGTTGCATTCTCGTTGCGTTGCCTCTCGGGAGGTTCCTGGCGGCTTATGAGGTGATTGTTGGGCCCGTAAGGCGAGAGTCACGGCGGGCCCCCAAGGTAAAACGAGCACGCATATTGGGCAATCAGCGTGTGTTCGTTGGGCGCGGTTTCGACGAGGGTCGGTGCTAATTGTTGCAATGTTCTTTCGGAGCGGAGTTGGCGTCATTTGGGGAAGCGGGCGATGTTTTGAGCTAGATGCGAGCGCGCAGGGGTCCATGGGGCACGAATTGTACGACAAGCGCGCCGGATGGAAGCCTCCGTGTGCTGTCTCGAGAGGCTACCTGGATATATTTTGGGGTCAATGTGGTACAAAGTGCGCGAGGGATGTTCAGCCACGCTCAGACGGGGTTGGGGCAAGGAGGGAGGGGGGAGGGTTTCTTAGAAGCACCCCTGCTTCTTAAAGGGCGCGGGCCTTTTCTGTAGATGTAAGGCCGGCGCCTTCTGAGAAGCAACCTCCTTCTAAGAAGCCTTCCCCCCTGCCTCCACCCCCTTGTGCGCGCCGACAAGATGTGTTGAACTGACGTTCTCCTAAGCCGTGTTAAGGGTCTGCTGAGGACCTTCGGGGGGCCCCTGGGTCACAACATGCGTGATGGGTGCGCCGAGATGATGTTCCTTTGGGCCGTCTTGAGGTGCCAGCTTGGCGCCTCTGGAGAGCACGAAGCACTTAGTGCGTGAGGGGTGCCGAATTGAGGCTCCCAAGGAAAACTCTGTGCGAGTCCACTGTTTTATACGCCTCCAGAAAGCATAAGTGCCCGTCGGGTGGGAACAGGCGAGACAGCCAACGCAAATCATTCAAACAGCTCAGTTGACATGTTTGGGGCCCTCGAGGGGCTCGCTTGGACTGTCCCGAGGGCGCGGCGCCGGTCCTGCGTGGCAGGTCCTGCGGCGAGCCTCCGGGGCGCTGGCCCTGCGCCGGCGGCGCGGAGGGAACGCAGAGAGAGTCGGAGGTGGATAGACCTCCTGTCAGAGCGTGAATTACCTACCCCGCTTTCGCTTCCAGGCAAAACCAAGTCATACCACGCGCCTCCTCGTCAAGCGGCCTGACCAGTACAGGCCGTAGTTTGGCATCGTTTGGTATCTCTTGGAAGCGAGGGTGGTCAAAAGCGAGGTAGGTTTGTTTTCCCCCTAGCCCTGACACGTCGAGTCAGGAATTGCCCGTTTTCGGTTCGCGAGAGGGCGTCGCGGCTGTCATTTTTGCGGGTCCAGGTCCGTTGGTTTCGGTCCCGGGCCGCTTTCACTGAGGGGAGGTTTACGAAAGTGAGGTTTGTCCACCGCCGAGAGAGGCAGGAAAGGAGGGACGAGCAAACGAAGACGAACGCGCAGGCGGGAGGCCCGGGCTGGCGTTAAGTCGGGCCTGTGTCCCTACAGGGGGATTGTCGACGAAAAATAAAAAATACCCCAAAAGTAGTCCAAAAATAATCCAAAAATAGTCTGGGGACTATTTTTGTAGCATTTTTGGATCTTTTTGGGGCATGTTTGGATTATTTTTTCTTTTTCGTCGAGAATCCCCCTGTAGGGGGACAGGCCCGACTCAATGCTGGCGGGACGAGGCAGGCAGGCAGGCGGGCAGGGGCGGAGACGGGACAGCAAGCAGGGAGGGGAGGGAGGAGGAAGAGGACGAGGAGGAGGAGGAGGAGGAGGGCGGCAAAAGGGCCGGGCCAGGGGCCGGGAGGGAAGGGCCGCCCGCGACGAAACTACGGACCCTACGGCGGCGACGGGAAGCGGTCGTCATGGGCGTCAGGAACCGTTGTGGGCGTCGGGAAGGGCGTCGGGATCGTTGTGGGCATCGGGAAGGGCGTCGGGGTCGTTGTGGGCGTCGGGAAGGACGTCGTGGTCGTCGGGATCGTTGTGGGCGTCGGGAGGGGCGTCGGGAAGGGCGTGGGGTTCCGGCCGAACCCAGCACGCTGCGGCGTGGTGGGGAAGGAACCTCCGCGGTATCGCCCACCGCCCCGCAGCAGTCTTGGCAGCACTCGGGAGTCATCTCTGGGCCCGCGTTGGGCCTGCCACGCTTTGATCCATGCTCTTGGGGGGCTCTTGGTGGGGCTGTTCTTGTCCGTGGGCCCTCGTGGGGCTCTCTTGGAAACCTCATGCGGCCCTCCTTGGGGAGTACTGGAGCACGAGAGGCAGATTGGAGCCCGCAGAGGCAGGACGGCACAGCATGCATGTTAACGCCTTCTGTCCCAACCTGTGGTGTTGGGTCCTCGTTTTGAAGAGACCGCCCCGCGCGTCACTCACTCCTTCCTCCTCCTCCCACCCCTTGCCTCTGCCCTCCAGATGTCCTTATCGTCCTCATATGGGCGCATGCAGTTCCACCTCCATGTCGGCGCATCCATGTCATGTTTCGTGGCCCAATTGTGTGCTCCACCGAAGGCCCCAGTGGCAGGGTCCGCATGCAGTTCCACCCCATTTCGGCGCACCTCTCACACGTTTTGTGGCCCCATGGTGTGCTCCACTGAAGGCCCCAGTGGCGGGGTCCGCATGCAGTTTCAACCCCATTCCGGCGCACCCCTCACACGTTTCGTGGCCCCATAGGGTGTTGCACCCAAGGTCCCAGTGGCAGGGTCCGCATGCAGTTCCGCCCCCATTTCGACGCAACCCTCACTCGTTTCGGGTCCCCAAGGGGTGCTCCACCGAAAGCTCCAGTGACAGGGTCCGCATGTAGTTCCACCCCAATTTCGGCGCACATGTCACACGTTTCGTGGCCCCATACAGCGCTCCACCGAAGGCCCCCAGTGGCAGGGTCTGCATGCAGTTCCACCCCATTTCGGCGCATCCCTCACACGTTTCGTTGCCCCCGTAGGGTGCTCCACCGAAGGCCCCAGTGGCAGGGTCCGCATGCAGTTCCACCCTCATTTCGGCGCACCCCTCACACGTTTCCTGGCCCATAGGGTGATCCACCGAAGGCCCTTGTGGCAGGGTCCGCATGCAGTTCCACACCCATTTCAGCGTACCCCTCACACGTTTCGTGGCCCCATGGGGCGCTCCACAGAAGGCCCCAGTGGCAGGGGCATGCAGTTCCACCTACCTCCATTTCGGCGCACCCCTCACTCGTTACGCGGCCCCATAGAATGCTTCACCGAAGGCCCCAGTGGCAGGGTCCGCATGCAGTTCTACCCCCATTTCGGCGCAACCCTCACTCGTTTCGAGTCCCCAAGGGGTGCTCCACCGAAGGCCCCAGTGGCAGGGTCCGCATGCAGTTGCACCCTCGTTTCGGCGCACGTGTCATTCGCTTCGTGGTCCCATAGGGTGCTCCACCGAAGGCCCCAGTGGCACCGTTCGCGCGCGTCCCTGCCCATCTCGGCACACCCCTCACACGTTTCGTGGCCCCATAGGGTGCTCCACCGATGGCCCCAGTGGCACCGTTCGCATGCATCCCTGGCACCCATTTCGACACACCCTCACACGTTTCGTGGCCACACAGGGCGCTCCACCGAAGACGATGCTCACCACTGCGTTACTCACAACTGCATGGGTATGGTTGGGCCTCTCGCCAGGCTAATGTTTCAGAATCTGTCATCTTGGTGGACTTCTGGGGGCCTCTGGACGCCATCAGGGGGCTCTCTGGGGCATCCCAGGGGTTGGAGGGTTCTTAGAATTTGTAGTGAACTATCTTGGGCCAAGATTCTTTGGGCCAGCTTGGGGCCGCATTCCGACTTGCCTCCCACTGGCCCTTTCAGGGCCCTCTCAGGGCTACAGTGCCGTCTTCAATACATGCTCCGCGTGCGGATCATGTATTACAGATGCAGGGATTTAGTAGTAAAACAGCGAGCAGTGCATGCATAGATTTATTCATATATTAATCATGTATTAAAAATCCTATATGTTAAACCATCCCGTGTAGTTAAACATTGCCCTGTATATTGGAGTTCTCCCGGGGCCACACTGGGGGCCGAGGAGGAGGCAGGAATGCCAACACCATCTGACACCAGGCGTTACGTCTATAAACGTCTGCCCTCTTGGGAGCCTCCGAGGAGGCTATTCGACAGTTTGGGTGCAGTCCATTGGACGGTCTTGGACCATATTGGGCAATCTTGTGGCCACACTGGCACCATCCTGGGACCATCTCTGGTCCGACATGGGGCCTGACACGCTTTGGTCCGCGTTCTTGAGCTTTCGCCCGCGCTTCGCCAACTCTTGTGACCATGGCCGCCTAGCGCGCGGGGACTATAAACAGTCAACTCCTCCTCTTCTGAGTTACCCTCGTGAGGGATCTAACGTGACTGTGGCCTGTTGGGCTGGCGAATGTTGGGCCCCTTCGGGGTCTCTCGGGGCTATCGGGGGCCTCCTGGGGGCCCTGAAGGCCTTCTTGGGGGCCTTTTGGGACTCTCAGGGCCTCCTTAGGAGCTTTGTGTGATTTCATTAAGACCGTCTCGACGGGCCTCGAGGCCGTTCTGGAGCCCCTCCTGGGCAGTCTTATCCGTCTTTGGGTCATGGGGCGAATTCTTAAGCTCCTTGCCATGGGGGGTGCCGCCTCTGGATAACTAGAATAATTCGAGCACGCCCCAACGTGCCGAGGGCACGGTGACGGATAAGGTGACTTTGGTCGAGGAGAAGGAAGAAGTTGCCGCAGAGGAGGAGGAGGCCGCGGGAGACGTGGAAGACGACCCGTTCGCCATGATGGCCGGCATGGGCGAGGAGGAGGTGTACAAGGTGACTTTGGTCGAGGAGAAGGAAGAAGTTGCCGGAGAGGAGGAGGAGGAGGAGGCCGCGGGAGACGTGGAAGACGACCCGTTCGCCATGATGGCAGGCATGGGCGAGGAGGAGGTGTACAAGGTGACTTTGGTCGAGGAGAAGGAAGACGCTGCCGGAGATGAGGAGGAGGAGGAGGCCGCGGGAGACGTGGAAGACGACCCGTTCGCCATGATGGCAGGCATGGGTGAGGAGGAGGTGTACAAGGTGACTTTGGTCGAGGAGAAGGAAGAAGTTGCCGCAGAGGAGGGCGAGGAGGAGGAGGAGGAGGAGGCCGCGGGAGACGTGGAAGACGACCCGTTCGCCATGATGGCAGGCATGGGCGAGGAGGAGGTGTACAAGGTGACTTTGGTCGAGGAGAAGGAAGAAGTTGCCGGAGAGGAGGAGGAGGCCGCGGGAGACGTGGAAGACGACCCGTTCGCCATGATGGCCGGCATGGGCGAGGAGGAGGTGTACAAGGTGACTTTGGTCGAAGAGGGCAAGGAGGAAGGCAGGGAGGACGGTGCGGCAGAGGAGGCGGAGGCCGAGGATGACGCGGCAGAGGACGAGGACGATCAGGATGGCGAAGAGGAGGTCGAGGAGGAGGAGGAGGAGGAGGAGGATGCCGAAACCAAGGCGGCCAAGGAGGCCGAGCGCATAGCTGCAGCCGAGGCGGAAACGGCGCGCAAGGCGGAGGAAGCCGCGAAGCGGGCCGCGGCCGCCGCCGAGGTCAAGGAGGCCAAGGAGAGGGCCGCCGAGGAGAGGCGGGCAGAGGCGGCGAGGGCGGCAGCGGAGCAGAAGGCGGCCGCTGCCGCGGCGGCCGAGGAGAAGCGGGTCCAGGAGGAGAAGAGGGTGGCGGAGAGGAAGGCGAAGGAGGAGGAGAGGGAAAGGGAGCGGAGGGCCGCAGAGGAGAGGGCCACGGAGGAGAGGAGGGCCGCCGAGGCGAAGGCGGAGGCTGCCAGGGCGGCCGAGAGGGCGGCGGCCGCCGAGAAGAAGGCCAGGGACGAGAAGGCCGCCAAGGAGCGCAGGGCCGCCAAGGAGAAGGAGGACGCCGCGCGAAAGGAGCAGGAGGCAAAGGAGGCCGCCGAGAGGAAGGTCGCCAGGGAGGCCGCCGCGGCGGCGCTGAAGGTGGAGCAGGAGGAGGCCGCGGCGAAGAGGGCGGCGCAGGAGGCCGAGAGGGCGGCCAGGCGGCAGGCGGAGGAGAGGGAGGCGGCGGAGCAGAAGGCCGCCAAGGAGCGGGAGGCGGCGGAGCGCATCGCCGCAGAGGCCGCCGCGGCGGAGAGGGCCCTGCAGGAGAAGGTGGAGGCGCTGAGAAAGGCGAAGGAGGAGGAGGAGGCGGCGGCCCGAAGAGCCGAGCAGGAGAGGAGGGGCGCGGCGGGCCAGAAGGGGCCCGCCAAGTCCAAGGCGGACAAGAACGCGGCGTCCAGGCAGAGAAAGAAGGAGGAGCAGGCGGCCGCGCCCTCCAGCGGCAAGAGGCCGGCCAGCGGCAAGAAGGCTCACGGCGGCGGCGGCGGCGGCATCTTCGACGTGTGCTGCAGGCGGCGGCCGGCCTGAGCGGCGGGCGCGCGCGGGCGGCCAGGGCGGGCCGTGCACGGCAGGGCGCTCCGCCGCGGAGCGCTCGGCAAGAGGCTCGTGGGCGCGGCGCCGCCGGGCGAGGAGCTGGCCCCGCGGCGGGGACGTGCGGGGCCCCGCTTCCCCGGGCGGCGTCTCCATGGCGCCTCGCTTGCCGGCCGAGAGCAGCATCCATCTTCCAGATCCCCGCGCGTTGGAATAGGGGGGCAACAAGTCACATAGACACAGCAACTCGGAGGTCCGCGCGGATTTCTCGGATCCGCGCTGGACCCCCCTTCCTGGCGCGCGGAGCGCGCCAGGGGCGGCGCCTGAGGCGCCGCCGGGGAGCCCCAGCGCCGATCCGAGAAATCCGCGCGGACCTCCGAGCTTTTATTTTTATGTCACTTGTTGTTCCCCTATGAAACCACCACCGCTGCCAGCCCCATGGCAGTTTTGATGTACACCGCTTCGCAGGGGGGACGCGGCCAGACACGCCGTCCGTCCGCTCCCGGTCCGTCTGCGGGGTTTCTACGGGGCCGTCTGGGGGACGGCTTGGTGGGCCTCGTGGGCTGCCTTGGGGCCCTTTTGGGCTATCTTGTGGCTCTCTGGGCTGTCGTTGGAGGCTCTTGGGGTCGTCTTGAGGCCATCTGGTGCTCCCACTGGCCAATTGGGATTTCTTGGGACCTTTCGTGGGCCGTCTTAATACAGCCAACCCGCGTAGTAAAGCTGAGCAAATTCCCAAGGCACATGTCCATCCTTCCCCTTCGGCCCGTCCTTGGCTGCTTTCGCTGGCCGCGCACCGCTCGAAAAGTGTCGACATGGCCCTCCACGGCCAAGGCATCCTTACCGCACATCCTTACTACGTATACGGGTTGACTGTAAGCCCGCAGCGTTTTCTGGAGCGAGTTGGAGTACTCCAACGACGCACGCAGTGCCCCAGACGCCCCCCCCCCCCCCCTCCGGGGCTTCTTCTCCATGGGGCCAATGGAAAAGGCCTCGAGGTTCCGGGGGATTATTTCCATTGGCGCACTGGAGACGGTAGGGGGTCAAATGTGAACCCTACCCCTACCCCCCACGATTTCTGAGGGGAAGGGTGGGGTTCACTTCGCTCGGGAGTTCCCGAACGACGTGAACCCCACCCTCCCCCTCAGAAATCGTGGGCGGTGAGGGTAATTAGGGTTCGCATGTGGCCCCCTAATTGGTCCATTGGGGCCCGCGGCACATCTGCTTCTCCAGCCTAGGTTGGCGCATGTGGCGCAGACGTGGGGCCCGTTTTTTCATTGGGGTTTCCGATGGATACACGGGGGGGTCCGTGGGGGGTGCCATGGGGGCCTCTTGTGGGGATTGTGCAGAGGGGGCGCGCATCAAGAAAACATGTGCTTTTCGTCAGGGTACCCTGGCTTTCTTCGCTCCGCGCGCTGCGCGTTGACTTTCCGCAGCTGCGTTCAGGGTGCTCTGGGTTTCCCCTGAGGTGCACCTCTCGCGCGGGTTCTCAGGGTTAGGTTTCTTGCGAGGGTTTCTTCCGGCCGCGCCCGCAATGTATGCCTTCGGTCGGATTTCAAAGGCATGAGACTCGTCGTGGACACTTCCTGTGCCATCTCGGAAGCCATTTTGGGCCGTCCTGGGCGTCTCTGGGGGCCGAACGGGGGGGGACCCTTCGGGCCGCCCTTGGGCCCCTCCGGGGCCATCTTGTGGCTCTCTGTTCTACCTGCGGAGCATATAGGGGCGAGTCATCTTGGGGCCGTCTGGGTGCTCTTCTGGGCTGTCTCGGGACCTGCTACGGCCGTGTTGAGGCCCTCCGCTGGCTCCTCTGGTGCGTCGTGGACCTTTCTTGGGCTCTCACGGGCTCACATTGGGACCGTCTTGGAGGCCTCTTTGGCCGACTGGAGGCCCTCTTGACCATCTTGGCCCTTCTGAAGGTCTCTTGAGGCCATCGGGCACTATATGGGACCGTCCTGCAAAGACTTGGGGCACTTCTGGCACGGATGCTCCCATCAGCCCCTCCCCTTGTTGACCAGACCCCTTCGCCGGGCTCCCGGCGTTGGTGTGTGTGTGTGCGTGGAGGGGGAGGGGCATTTGTCTCACACGCTGAGAACATCCAGAAGGAGGTAGCGAATTCGCGATCAGAGCCCGAAGCGTTTTATTGCTTGAGCAGCTTCACACCGCTCCTTACACAGCTACCATTAGTATGCAATTGGTTGATTGCTTCCCCTTCCTGCTTGCAGAAATCCCACTGTCCTGTAAGATATGCCGCTGAGCCGCCGATGCTACCTAGTCGTTTCAAGGTGGGACAGGCGTGTCTGCACGCGAGGCGCTGTTTGATTTTCCAATAACTAGTTCAGGATACCGCATGATTTCACGACAGAGGAGGGTGCGCTGGAGAAATATGATTTTACGTACGGTAGGTTTGCGCCGTTATGATGCGGCGGCGACCGCAGCGCGGCGGGCGTTCAACATTGAACGCCGCCAGTGGCGTGTAATCAGCTTGCAACGAGCGATCTGCGCAGGAGCAAAGCCGCGATCTTTCTAGGTTGAACGGTCCACGCGATACCAAAAAAAACACGTCGAATATATCGCGGCGTGAACTTGTCGTAACAGCGTTGTTGATGGTGGTGGCGTTGTTGGTGTGTGATGAGAACGAGGAGGAGGATGCAGAGGCGGAGTGAGGACGGAGGACAGCACGCCCAGCTGCCTTCAGTGAGGACAGAGGACGACGCGTCCAGTTGTTCTCCTCGCCAGTCAGCATCATTCCCCCAATGCTCCTCATTCTCATCCTCTTCGTCCTCTTCGTCTTCCGTGCTATGACATTGTGACTTCATGCCCCTCTTTCTCTTCCCATTTCTCCTCCTTGGAACCCATATCATGTTCAACCTCATCCCCAGGAGTCCACAACGTTCTCCTCGTGCCCAATCCTCGTGTTCCTCACCTCCCGAATCATTCCTCCGATCACGCCTGGGCTTCCTGCCCATTCTCTTACCCCCCCTCACCCCATCCTGATCATCCCTTCTCCGATCACGTCTAGACTTGCTCATCGTTCTTCCCGTTCGCGTCTCCATCCTTATCACCTTTTCCTCCCCATGGCCATCCGGATCCTCCTCGTCATCCTCCCCCCTCCTACTCCTGGAGCGCGACAGGAGGTAGGTCGGTAGGTAAGACAGCGGCTTGACGCCAGGTTTGGGGCGTGCCAAACCCCGTCCGTTTCCGATCGTCATCCTCCCCCACCTGCTCCTGGAGCGCGACAGGAGGCAGGTCGGTAGGTAAGACAGCGGCTTGACGCCAGGTTTGGGGCGTGCCAAACCCCGTCCGATTCCGAGTCGGAGGCGCTGCTGCAGTCGGCCGTGGCCTCCTCTGCGCTTTTTCGCGCAGAGGCGCTCCCCAAGGTCCTGCAACGCAGGGAGCTCGGCCTCCACCAGGCCAACACCTCACACGGTGTCGGCTCGGGGGCCACGGCAGGGGTGGAAAGGGGCCCCAATTCCCGCCCTGACCCCACCCAACACATTGCTTCTTTGGGCCTCCACTTCGGGATTGAAGATACACGCCAATCGCATGCGCATCTCGAGTGGTACCACTTCAGGGCGCTCGAGGTGCAGATTCTTCAAACCTGGCTTGTAAGACGGGCAGCTCTGCGCCTTGAGACGGCGAAGCTGCGCTCACCGAGCACTGAGCCAGCGTGTTCACGGATGCAGTGTCTGAGCAGGGCCCGAGCGGGGCTGTGCCCCGAGGCAGCATGAGAAACCATGATCCACAGGCACAGCAAACACACAGCGAGCGATCGCCGTCTCATCGCCATCCTTTTTGTCCATCTGTGTGCGGGAAGTCCCGCCAACGTGCCAGCGTAGTACTCCGTGCGGCGACGCTTCGAGCACCGAAGGCCGCAAGGCGTGGCACCTCTCTCTTCTATTCCTAAGGGGCTCTCGTGGGGCCTGGGACTGTGCTCCGTCGAGATGCCCCATCAATGCAACATTGTCAAACGCCAGCACCTCTTGAGGCACTGTTGGGCCATCTTGGCGGCCGTGGTGGCAGTCCCGAGCCGTGCTGGAAGCATGGGATGCTCCTTGGAGGGTCCCAGGGAGATGTCGGGCCCCCCAGGGATCCTCGGGAGAGATGGGCGATGCATGCAGTGAGGCGTCAGGGTTAAATCGGGCCTGTCCATCTACAGGAGGAATATTCAAGAATCGTCAAAACTTTGCCTGGGGACGATTAGTTGATTATTTCTACCCATTTTAAGGGTATTTGTTGATTATTTGCGTTCGCCCAAAATCCGCCTGTAGGGGGGCATGCCCGACCTAACGTTCGGGGAGGAGGGGGTGGTCCGTCAGAAAACGTACAGAAGCCCACCTACTACCCTCGTCAACATTAACATCAAAAATGGCGACCACGCCCCTGCGATGTCGGCGCGCCCTTCAATGTCGATAGACACCCCTCCAATGCCGGGGCCAGGGCAAAAGTGGTCTAACCGGGAACGACTCGGAAGTTCGATGATGACCGACATTGGAGGGGCGGCGCATACAAGTACCTCATCATCATCATCATCATCATCATCATCATCATCAGCATCATCAGCATCATCATCAAAATCATCATCATCAACAACATCATCACCATCATCATAATCATCAGCATCATCATCATCGTCATCATCACTGTCATCGTCATCATCAGCAACAGCATTGGCATATCAACCACGCTCATCACCATCATAATCATCAGCAGCATCATCCTCATCATCATCATAATCGTCATCATCATCATCATAAGCCCCCTCATCACCATCATCATCATCCTCATCATCATCAGTGGCCATGTTGGCTCAAGCCATTGGCTCAAGTTTTGAAGCGTGCTGCCTGGCGCTTCGAGCTTGCGCGCAGCCAGGGGCATTGCTCCAGCTGTTTTGATAGGCACAGTGCCTCCCTAGTTTTTGTGGCTGGATAGTTAGTTGTTGGTCCACACCAAAGCTACATGTTGTTGCCATGGCGTCCGTGGAGGCTGCCCCGGCCTAGGCGCTCGGACTTGTGCTGTCGTTTCAGAGTGTCGACAATCTCATGGCGACGTTGACTCAGGACGCCAATCGCAACAGCATGGCACTTCGCGATGACGTGAACGGTGCTGCAGCTCGCGTGGACATTATTGAGGCGCAGATCTCGAACGTGTAGGAGGACGCGGACTTGACGATGCGTGGGGCAGAAGGTGTCTGCCAGCGTGCTTCTGAGCTTCTTCGGCTTGAAAGTGCGGTTGCTACCATCCAGCAGTCGCCCGCGGAGCTCGCCTCTCGTGACCGTGCAGTTCCAGAGGCACCACCCAGCGGCGTCGCGCACGCAACCCAGGCTCTTCACGCTCGACGGCTACTGGTTCGGCCTCGGCATGGGTACCTTCGCTCCGCGCAGCACGCGCCATGAGGGCGCGTGCAGGCTCGTCCTGCTAGGCTTCCCGTGGCCGATGATAGTTTGTGCACGGCGGCGTGCTGCAAGATAAGTTCGACGACAGGCCCACCCCCAAGGATAGCATGGCAAGTGCGTCATCAAAACATCCGGCATGCATCGCAAGGCCATCGTAGAGTTCACGGACGCCCACGCGCGCAGTATCTTCATCACCAAATACGACCAGAACGTGACTTTCCCGTGATTTTCGCGTTGGCGCACCCTTCTCTCTCACGGTACGGCGTGATCCGGACGCGCGCAGCAGGCAGCTTTTCTTGGCGATGGGTAATATGAGCAACGGCATTAAAACCATCCTCCTCAACATTGGCTTCCAGGTAGGCCCCAATGGCCTCGGATGTGGCATCTGCGTCTTACGGTGTGCTGAGAATGCGTTTCGCGTTGCCCACCTCGCGCCCGGTGGCGTCAATGGCGACCTCCACGTGGACCGCGGGTAGTGCGCTTGCTGAGTTCAGTTCAGATCAGTATGCCAACGCTACCATCCAGGCGACGACAGGTGCTGCCCGCCGTCCCTTTTGAAGTGGCCCAGTGCGACTCTGGTAGCAAACGCAATGCTTGTAATTCAGCGAACCCTTGCAGTTGTAGTAGGTATACCTCTAGCAATCCGTCGTCCCTTCACTCTTCCTCCTCGTCCCCTGCGTCTTTGGATTCTTCTTCCTGATCGTCGATTTCGGCTGAATCCAACCCCGTTCTCACCAATCTCTGCGGCATCCCATGTTGAAGGGGCGCCCGGGGTCTGTTCGCGGCTGTGGCAGGTGGTGGCAGGAGGGCTTCTAGTCGGTGCGCCCAGCTTGAGCTTTGCTACATGTCATGGCACTGTACGCGCCCAAGAAACACGCGGCCACGATGAGAATGCAAGGGTAGTCGAGTGCCAGCTTCGCGGCAGCAGCATGGGCATGTCCACGCGCGCGGAGGCTGACACTGGCGGCGCCCTGATTATCCCCAGTGCTCGGGTTGCCTTTTTCTGTCGCTCTATTTCGCGCCATCCCACCGCTCCCGGTTCGCATTCTTTTCGCTCGCTGCATGGGCCCTCTCGGCACGCCGCGCAGCGTGCTGCCGCGTGCCGAGCGCTAGTAAAGGCGCGCCTTTGCATCGCAACATATTGATTGCTATTCTCGCTGCGCTCTCGCCTGCAACAACCTCGCCCAATCTGGTAGGAGGCGAAGTGAGCTTTGCCATCGAGGAGAACGGGGGCGCGGGGGGATGACGGACACGCGCGGCGGAATGACGATCGCCTGCGCCGCGACTTTTCTAACCAGCTGCCGGCATCTGGCACGGGTCTGCACCGGGCGAGCCTACCAGGCAAGGCTGGGGCATCTCACGGGATGCCCAATCGTCGAGATGACACCTTCTGTATTCAGATTTCCTAGTGCTCTTTCAGGGTAACCGTGCCGGCAAAAGAGCGGGGGCGGCTTCGGAGGCGCACCCCGTCTGATCGTTGGCCTCTTGTCGCTGCCTTTTCAGCGATGCGTGCCGCGGGGGGCGCGCCTGCCATTGGCGCGCACGTTGCGCGCTCGCCTGCGCATCGGCGCGCGGCGCGAGAGCGCCTGCTCGGCGGCCTTCGTGAGGAACGGAGCCCATATGAGCGGCGCGCTGTAGCTAAGCGTGCTGTTCAGGGACAAGTTCAGTCTGCTCGCGCCCCCGTCGAGCATCGGCACTCGCGTGCGCGCGCAGAAATGCGATCGGAACATGCACCCTCCAGGCGGTTTTCGGCGCGGTACATTTCATGCGCGCGCATCCCACTTGTTCGCGCGCGTGCAATCCTCGTGCAGATTTGCGACGTTGAGGGGACTTGTCGGCGCTTTGCGAGCGCGCGACCGGGCTTCAAGATTCAGTGTTTCAGGGGTAGCAAGCGGGGCTGGAGGCGCGCGCCTCGGCTGATCTGGGGGGAAGAAGCCCGGGCCCAGAGCCGCGTGAAACGAGTGCGTCGCACACGCGAAAAGCGGTCGCAGCCCCGTCGTCGCGTTCACCTCCAAAGTGTTTGAGATCATGATGGTTTCCCATTTCAGCGATTGGGGTAGTCTGGGCGGGTTCTAGCCGATCATTGGGGAGATTTGTCTCGCGCCGTTCCTACTGATCGAACTCTCTGGGGCGAAGTCCTTGGTTTATGCCCACGGGCCCGGGATCTGGGCATCATTTCCAATGGTTCGTGGGGCGCGCGGATGTCTGCGAGCTGCTCTGAGGTCGTCGCGCCGCCGCCCCAGGGCCCGACGGAATCTTTTGCGCGCGCTAGACCGCGAGCGAAGGACTTGATATGTTGCGCGGCCTCCGCAAGGAAACACACGGCACCTCCAGTGCGCGCGCTCCGCCCAGCGCGCTGGACGCGCCCCTGCTACTTTTTTGCTTGGAGGAACCTGCTCGCATGATTCGGCCGCAGGTGCATTCCGCTCTGCTGCTTGCGCCCAGTCGCTAGCGCTCTTGGATGCGAATTGCCGGATTCTCTCTCTCTCTCTCTCTCTCTCTCTCTCTTCTCTTTCTTTTTGTTTTCTCTCTCTCTCTCTCTCTCTCTTTCTCTCCCTCTCTCTCTCTCTCTCTTTCTCTCTTTCTCTCTTTGTTTTGTTCTCTCTCTCTCTCTCTCTCGCTCTCTTTCTTCCTTTCTCTTTCTCTTTGTTTCTCCTTCTTTTTGTGCGTTCTCTCTCTCTCTCTCTCTCTCTCTCTCTCTCTGTCTATCTCTCTCTTTCTCTCTCTCTCTCTCTCTCTCTCTCTCTCTCTCTCTCTCTCTCTCTCTCTCTCTCTCTCTCTCTCTCTCTCTCTCTCTCTCTCTCTCTCTCTCTCTCTCTCTCTCTCTCTCTCTCTCTCTCTCTCTCTTTATATATATATATATATATGTCTCTCTCTCTCTCTCTCTCTCTCTCTCTCTCTCTCTCTCTCTCCCTCTATATATTTATTTCTGTATTTATCGTTCTCTACATATCTCTTTCTCTCCCTCGCCTTCGCGCGCCCCCTGAATGACAGCGCCGCCGCCTCGGTCGGCGGCAGCCTGGGGGGCGGAGTCAAAGGTCGGGATTTGCTGGCCAGCGTCGTCGGGGCGGAAGCATGGCGCCTTTCAGTGTGGGGCGCGTGCAGGAAACATGCAGTTGAGTTCCTCGCGGACTTCTGACTTCTCTGCCGCGTTCCCGCCCATTCTCGCGCGGTGGATTTTGGCCGCGCGGATTGCTCTTGGCGCCCCACCTGCCATCGCCTGTTTCTTTCAGCACCTGCGCCGCGATAGCAGGGCATGGGTCGCGCTCGGGGGCGGCGCGGCGCGCGGGGGGGGGCGGGGGGCGGCTCATATTTCGATTGAACGAGGCGTGATGCAGGGCGATCCAGCCTCGATGGTCCTCTCCGCGCTCTCCGCTAACCTTGTTGCTAGATGGCTGGCGCGGCGTACCAGGAAGCGCTTCGCTCGCATGCCTGCCCGCGCTGATCGCTGGCTGTTCATGCTTACGGATGTCCTCGTTGACTTTTTTCGGCTCCTCCGCCGTATTGAAATTCTGGGAAGTGCTGTTGGAATGCGTGCGAATTTCAAGACATGCGTGGACCTCTTGGTCGGTGGCACGAATTATATCATGCTCCACGGGGTTTGCGAGGATCTCGGGTATCCTGATTCGTCGATCGCCATCGCCAAGTTCTGTCAGTGCGTGGGAATTGTGTCGGCCCCGAAGCTGCTGGACATGCCCAGGATGAGGTACTGCCTGCTTCCGTTGGTTTCCATCGTTCTGTTCGCTGGCAGGGGCGGTTTAGATATCGGTTTTCTGCACGTTCAGTGCGTGGGATGCGCCGGCCAGCTGCGATCGTTGGCCAAGTGTCCTGCTCTTCGGCCTGTTCCAGAGCGGTTTCTTCAAGTGAGGCCAGAGGGCGGGGCGTGCGCTGCGAGGGGGGCCACCTGCTGGTAGAAGATGATTTTGTTGACGGACATCCAGAACGCGGCCACCCTGTTCGCCGGCATGCTCATCTTCTCTGCTTGCCGAAATTAATCAGAAGTCGATTCAGCGGTTCTATTATCGGATGCCCCTCGGCGCCCCCCTGTGGACATCTTGTTCGGAAGTGGACCCCCGAGCTTCTTACTTCCTGGAGGTCCCAGACTGCCCCATCGGCTGACAATGCTCCTATCTATCGCGTCCGCTACGCTGTGAAGAGATCCCAGGGATATCCCGGGGTTGCCGTGCTACGCCTTGCTTGTTGGGGTGTCTGCGCTACGTCGAGGTGTCACTGTGCCCCGCGAGGTTGTGTCTGGGGCTGTCCGAGCCCTTCAGGTGTTGATCTGGACGATCTTAAACGCTACGCTGCGTGCCGGGGGCTCCGTGCTCTCTGTGAATCTCACCTCGTTGCTTTTCCTGTTCGAGGTGATGGTGGCTGGTTCTCGATGCTGATTTTAACCTCTCTCGTTCCGTCCACCTCTGCAATGCTTCGATGCGTTGGCTGCCGTGACGCGCTTGTGCGCGCGCCCACTGGAGCGCGACTGGACCGTCGTGCCAGTGTGGAGCACGCCTTCTCTGCACGCCCGCGTTTCTATTCGAGGCGCCACGAGGCGATGAGGCGAGTTTGGCGCGAGAGTATAAACCGTTTCAGCGGGGGGTCGCTGAATTTGAGGCCTGCCAGGTTTTCTGCTCAAGAAATATCATCATCGTCATCATTTTCATCATCATCATCCTCGTCGTTGTCGCCATCATCACCATGATCACCATCGTCATTATCACCATCATCCTCACCATCAGAAGAACCATCATCATGAACATCGGCATCACAAAGCCATGGTCATCATCGCCGTCATCATCGTCATCGTCGTCGTCACCATCACGCTCATCACCATCAGCACCATCATCATCATCATCATCATCATCATCGAAATCATCACCACCACCAGAACTATCATCACCATCATCATCTTCACCACCACCGCCATCATCGCTATCAACATCACCACCGGCGTCGCCATCGCCATCAACACCACCGACACGGTACGTTTAATAATTTTGCGAATTGCATATGCGCATGCGTTCGCATACGATCCACCTGGTGCGTAATTGCAGAAATGTGCACAGGCCCAAACACAAGCAACTTCGAGTTGCTAACTCGTTGAATGGGACATTTGCCACGTCGAAGCGAGGGGGGAGGATGGAACCGAAGGAGCAAGAAGAGAACGAGGGAGAGGAGGCGGGCTGGCTAGTTGTCTGGCTGGGGCTTGCTTGTTTATTGGGCATGATTGAGGCAGGCCGGTACAAAACCAAGCTGGGGCTGGCTGATACGAGGGCCGCGTGGGTCCGCCTGAGACTTTGTTTGGGTTTGCCAGCTTGTGATGAGCCGGGGCCAGGCTTAGCAATTGGACCGTTTATGCTGCGCTGGGACATGCGCGCCTGCTTGACAATACGTGCAGCACGCCAAATCTCGTTCGAATGGTGAAAGCATTTTGAATAGTTTTCTTGGGCACCATGTAGATTACTTGCCTGGGGGGGGGGAACGACAACAGGGTATTGGGGAGGGGCCTGAGGTAGAGGGAAAGTCCTGGAGGGAGGAGGAGGGGGGTGGGCGGGGGGAGGGGGAACGGAAGGATGGGGATGGGGAGGCTACTGACGGGAGAGACCCTGGGGGGAGAGGGGGAAGGCGTGCTTGGGGGTGGGTGTCTTGAGTGGATTGGCTGAAGGCGGAAAGGGGTGGCAGGGAGGGGCAGGAGCCAGGGCCAGGGGCTGGTCGGCGGCCAGCCCTGCTGGAGAGGGGTCCCGCTGACAGGCGCGGCGGACCACGAGCAGGCAGCAGTCTTTCAGCGCCCCCGCGGACGAGCCGGAGACCTGCCGGGCATGCGCCCGACTCGGCGGCGGCCCTGGCTTACCCGCTGCCCTGCGAGCGGGTAGCGCGTCGCTCTGACCGGCGGCACGACACGCTGAGCCATCGTTCTCGGCCGCACAGTGGAGACCCGTGCCAATAAATGGTCCTATCTCTTCCCACATCCGTGTGGCTTGGACAGAGGAAGACAGCGCTGTGGAAATCCTGAACTGCGCCCGACTCCTCCACCCGCCCTCGTCTCCTTCTCACTCCCCCCCGCCCTCCTTCCGCGGATGCCTGGGCGCCGCCTCGGGCGTCGATGCGGATGGCGTTTGGCACGGGCCGCCGGCGCCGTCCACTGCGCACGCGAGCGGCTCTGCTGGTCTCGCGGCGCCAGGGCATCCGCGGGGCGGATCAGCTCTGCGGCTGGCGCGTGGCGCGGCCGCTGGCGTCGTCCACGGCACAGCCGAGCGGCCCCGCTGGGCGCGCGTCCCTTGGGCTTTCGAGGGGCCACGGCCCCGGGGGGTCGCCGCGTGGCTCACGAGGCCGCGCCTCGCGCGTCCTTAGACGAGGAAGAGGAGGAGGAGGAGGAGGAGGAGGAGGAGGAGGAGGAGGAGGAGGAGGAGGAGGAGGAGGAGGAGGAGGGGGAGGAGGAGGGGGAGGAGGGGGGGGAGGAGGGGGAGGGAGGAGGGAGGAGGAGGGAGGAGGAGGAGGAGGAGGGGCCAGGCCGTCTCAACACAGGCCGCACGGTCCACCTGCGGGGCAGAAGGAGTGCGCGCCGCAGGCTGGCGCCATCCTCTGCGGATCCGCAGCACGGAGGTTCCTCACTCGCCCTCGCCACCAGAGTTGTTTTGTCGCGCAGCCGGTTTAGTGCTACGGTGCGCGTGGAACTGCCCCGTCGTAAGGGTGTTGCAGTTCGCCTTCCTCTCTGACTCCTGCAGTCGCGACTGGCGTGCAGCAGGCCGGCCCTGCAAAACCAAGGGTGCGCGCGAGTCAGTACCCTTGCCCACTTATGCCGACTCGCAGTCCCTGGCCTGTTGTGCCACGTCCCCCCTGGCTTGTTCCCGCCGCGGCTTGCCCTTGCTGGGGTCCCCTCCGGCGTCCTCCCCCCGCGCCGCGACTGGACCCCCTCGGCCTCGGCCCTCCTCTCTGCCCCTCTGGAGCCATTTTGGCTCGAGGGCGGGTCGCCGCGGCGGTCGCCGCGGCGCCAGCTGGGCCGGCGGATGGCGCTGCTTCCAGACAAGAGCCCCCGGTTCTCGATGAAGAGAACGCGGCATGCACATACATTTTCGTAGCTCCGCGCGGAAGTCGTGAATCAGCGGAACGCGACAGCGGGGTAAGGCGGCGATCTCCGCGCGGAGCTGCGGCAGTTTATGCTCGTGCCGCTTTTTCTCCCTCCAGGTTCCCAGCTCCGGCGCCCGACGCCCCAGACCCGGGGCCCGGCGCGTATTTGGGCTCCCGGCTTGGAGATGTCCTGAAAAGCGGCGGGTGGGCGGCGCGGCAGGGCAGGGGGATGGCGAGGAGGAGAGAAGCGCGAGGAGGAGGAGGAGGACGACAAGGAGGAGAAGGAGGACGAGGTGGAGGAGGGCGGGAGGCAGGAGCACGAGGAGGGGGAGTCAGATGGTGGTGGTGGTGGTGGTGGGACTAGGGCGCGGAACTTTCATTTCTAAAGGATAATTGTTGTTGATCCCTCCCGTCGGGCGCACCCTGTGTTTTTTAATGATAAAGCGTTCCTCCAGGGACTCGCACTCTTTTTTTTCCCCCCTACAATGGGAAGTCTTGGTCCGCTAACTGAGCCCCCGGCCCCCGGTTGAACAGCAACGGCCCCCGCCTTATGCGTCCCCCGATGTGTTTCAAAACCGCGCTCTCGCGCGGGACTTCGTCCCAGTGTATGCGGGAATCGCGCTCTCGCGTCGGACTCTCTCGTTATACACTCAGACGCCGCGCCCTCGACGCTCAGGAACCGCGCTCTTGCTCGGGCTTTCCTTTCGATTTACTTGGGAATCGTGCTATCGCTCCAGGCCTCTTCGCGATTCATGCGGGACTCACGCATCAGCAACCCGCCTGCTCGACCTGGCCGCCTGGGCCCGCCTTCCCAACTCGCCCGATCAGCCCGTCTGGTTCTGCCAAGTGTTTTCTGTTCCTAGCTCCCTCCTGCTAATCTTTCTCGCGTCCTCTCGTCTAGTTGTTCTAAATGTTGTGCCAGTTACACGTGGTAGGTGAGGAAGATCTACCCCCAAGGGGGGTTACAATCGAAGACGAAGAGGACGGGTTTCGAGGGGTTGGGGTATACAAGTATACGTGTTGGTTGACACTCGGGCAGACAACAACGGACATGTTAGAAATGGTTATTGCTGTTGTTGTTGACGATGGTGACGATGGCGATTATGATGGTGATGTGTCATAAGATGATGGTGATGAGAACATGATGGTGGTGGTGATGAGGTTGAAAATGGTGATGATGAGGGGAATGGTGATACTGATGGTGGTGATGATGTTGATGATGAGGCGGATGATGATGATGATGGTGGTGATGATGGTGAATGTGTTGATGATGAGGAGGATGGTGGTGATGTTGATGATGATGGTGGTGGTGTGATGGTGATGAGGAGGAGGATGGTGGTGACGGTGATGGCCATGATGAGGAGGGGGAGGCGGAGGAGGAGGATGGGGCATACGCATGGGAATGAGAAGGAGGAGGGGGAGGAGGAGGAAGAGGAGGACCAGTGCAAACCGACGGTTCATCAACGGGATTGCAATATTTTCTCCCTCCAATTTCTTATAGACACCTACAAGAATTCTTGTTCACTCCAGGAAGTCGCCCGTTGAAACATTACCGTTTGCAAACCCGCTACTGTGCCAGAGCACCAATTACCGTTATTGTTTTGTCGTGACCTTGGATCGCGACATAACGCCATTCTTGGAACTTCAGCACTACATACGATTCGACGTAAGTGTTGAGTCTTGACAGTCCGACATCGTGCCGAAGCACCATTTCTGGTACGTCACGCATCATCCTTGACATTGTTGTAAGCTCTTAAACCGAATGTACGCCTCGCTGAGGCGAACGCCACCTTTTGAACACAGCCCGCCTTCCATCCGTGAAACGCGTGCAACGTTTTACAGCGAGTGTGCGCGGCGCGAGTGCGAGAGCCGCATTTTGAAAAAGAACGCGCCCTCCATCCGCAGATGTTTGCGACCAGGATGCGCGGCGCTAAGGCGAGAGCCACAGCCTGAAGAGGGCCCGCCCTCCATTCGCGAGCTGTGTGTGTGTTCTTCGTACGTGTGTGCGCGGCGGCAGAGCGAGAGCCACACTTTGGACACGGCCCGCCCTCCATCCGTGCAGCTCCTGCACGTTTTCCCAGCCCTCCTGCGCTGGGCTCGCGTTTCGAATAGAGCGCTGCGGTCGCACGTACAGTCGGGGCGCTGAAGAAAGAACCCTTTTCGTTGGGGAGGGGCTCGGCGTTCCTTGATGGTTTCAAGGTGTGCCTCGGGTGTTCCCGAGGTTTTCCATGGAAAATCGAGGTTGAACGCATGGGAAAAAGGGGCCTCGTTCCTTATTTAGGGTTCCTTAGGTCAACGCCCCGCCTGTACTCCCGTTCCCTTTGCCTGATTGCCTGCCTCTCGCTCCGTTCCTTCCTGCGTCCCAGCTTTGCGCTCTACCTCGCCATCCCTGTGGGGCTGCGATCTGCGAGCCTGTCGCCACTTTCGAGGGCTGCTGGGGGGTCAGCGGAGTGACGTCCTGCCCAGACTCACATGAGACCTCGCCACCCCTGGGGGGCTGCGATCTGCGGAACTGTCGCCACTTTCGTGGGCTGCTGGGGGGTCCAGCGGAGTGACGTCCTACCCAGACTCACATTAGACCTCGCCACCACTGGGGGGGTGCGATCTGCGAAATTGTCGCCACTTTCGAGGGCTCTTGGAGGTCCAGCGGAGTGACGTCTTACCCGGACTCAAACTAGACTTCGCCATCCCGTGGGGGGTTGCGATCTCCGAAATTGTCGCCAATTTCGAGGGCTGCTGGGGGATCCAGCGGAGTGACGTTTTACCGAGATTCGGATGAGACCTCGCCATCCCTGTGGGGCTGCGATATGCGAACCTGTCGCCACGTTCGAGGTTGCTGGGGGGTCCAGCGGAGTGACGTCCTACACGCACTCAAACTAGACCTCGCCACCCCTGGGGGGCTGCGATCTGCGAACTTGTCGCCACTTTCGAGGGCTGCCAGGGGGCCCCGCGGAGTGACGTCTTACCCAGGCTCAAACCAGACCTCGTCATCCCTGGAGGGCTGCGATTTGCGAACTCATCGCCACTTTCCGAGGGCTGTTGGGAGGTCCAGTGGAGTGACGTTCTACCCAAATTCAGATTCGATCGCGCCATCCCTGGAGGGCTGCGATCTGCGAACTCATCGCCACTCTCGAGGGCTGTTGGGAGGTCCAGGGGAGTGACGTTTTACCCAAATTCAGATTCGATCGCGCTCTCCCTGGAGGGCTGCGATCTGCGAACTTGTCGTCACTTCCGAGGGCTGCTGGGGAAAGATCACGTCTTCGCCTGCAGGGCTGCGCGGATGACCCCTGGCTGCATGTTACGTCATGCTGTCCAGGGCAACGACCGTGGACAACCTCCGAATGATACGCGACCCCGGCCTGGATTTCCTGGCCGGGCCGCGCGAAGACGTTCGGGGGCGGAAAAGAGGGGGGTGATGACTCTGGGGGGGTGGATATCATGGCGGGGGGCATGATATTTCCCAGATCTCATGGCGCCTCTTCTTGTTTTAATACGTCCCTCCCCCCGCTGGGCCGCGCACGTGCCGCCGGTCATGATTTGCACCCCCCCCTCTTGGACACCCCCCTCTTGGCCGCTCCCAAGTGGCTGCGCGCCTTCGAGCATTTAGCCCCCGCACTGAAAAGTGCAGGAAGGAGGCAGAGTTGCTGGCGAACGAGACAGGTCTCGCTCGCCCCTTGCACTCGCTATAAACAGGCTAGATATTGTCGAGCGCGGCGGCAACATGGCGCAGGTAGCGCTGCATCTTCAGCGCGCAGTCGATAACAAGCAACACTCTTCGGTCCCCTCCCGTCACTTTCTCGTCGCCGTCTGCCCCCCTGCCACCTTCCCTCTGCTACTGCCGCACTGATGGTTCTGTTCCTCAGGCGCCCTTTTCCTGCCATCCGTTCCCGCCCCATGTCCTCCTTAAGCATGTCGTCCTTTTGTGATTGTCCTGTGAATCCTGCCACGTGAAGGCAGCCCGTGTAGCTTGCACAACGTATATAGCGGCGCCAGCGCTGTCATCGTCCTGGCAAGTTTGGGCGAATCCCTTTTATCATTTGATGCACATGGGTTGGGTGCGTCGCAAGGTAAGTTTAAGCGACTGTGCGTGGTGCCAATATGAAGTCCACATGTTGAAAACGACCCGCCGTCCATCCGTGATACGATTGCAACTTCTCAGCTTCAGGATCACAAGTGGTGCGACAGTCTCAGGCGAAACGCCTTGCCCGCCTTTTCGACCGGCTTCCGGGTGCGACACTTAGGAGTGATCTTACATAAGGAAAAGGAATGGAGGGGAGCGGGCTGGGTAGACGGGACGAGTGTCTCGTAGGGCTGTCGGTGCAGTTCATAGGCGCTATCTGTGAGGCGTCGGGGAACGGCCACTTCTCACCTCAGAGGTGCATCCGACCAAGGCGTCCCATGATCTTCGTCCATGATCCGTCGGCCTGGGACGGGCAGGGCAGACAGGCGGGGAGGAGCAGGGTCTGGACTGGGAGGAACACGACGAGGGGGATAGTTACAATAATGGCGGGGGATGTTGATGATGGAGGGGGGAGGGGGGGGGGAGGAGGGAACAGGGAGGAGGATGGCGCAGAATGGGGGGAAGATGGTGGGATCAGAGGGATGATGGTGAGGAGGTGCGGGAGGAGGAGGAGAAGATGGGACGCAAAGGAGCAGGACTGGGACAACGGGGGCGATGGTGAGGAGGAGGAGAAGGAGAAGGAGGAGGAGGAGGAGGAGGAGGAGGAGGAGGAAAGGGAGAAAACAGGCGGATGGACGGGGGCGCTGGGGCTTGGGAGCGGGAGGGTGGAAAAGGATCTCACCTCCTTCTTTCCCTCGCCCCTGGAGGCGGGGATGGGCGGCGGGAAGTTCGGTATAGGCGCGTGCCCCTCCCGCACGCGGAACTGCACGGCGCGTTACCTTGCACACCGTGCCCCCCAGCTTGCCGAGGTTCGTTCCCGAGGGGCCCGGCCGAGCGCGTGAAGGGGGGCCCCGTGTCGCGGTCGAAGAGGCAGCCGATCAGCAGGCGGCGCAGCAGGAGGGACATGTTGTTGTTGATGATGCTGAGGATGATGATGATGATGACGATTGGTGATCATGATGTTGATGCTGCTGATGATGATGATTATGCAGACGATGATGCTGATGATGCAGATGAGTATGAGTATGAGGAAGATGATGCTGATGATGAGGATCATACAGATGATAATGACGATGATGATGATGCTGACGACGGTGATGGTGACGGTGATGATTCTGATGACGGTGATGGTGATGGTAATGGTGGTGGTGACGATGCTGCTGATGTTGATGCTGATGCTGATGGGGATGGGGATGTGGATGGGGATGTTGATACTGATTATGCTGATGATGCAGATGAGGATGAGCATGATGATGATGATGATGATGATGATGATGATGGTGATGGTGATGGTGATGGTGATGGTGATGGTGATGGTGGTGGTGGTGGTGTGGTGGTGGTGTGGTGGTGGTGGTCATGATGATGATGATGAGGACGATGAGGATGATTTGGATGACGAAGATGAGGATGATGATGCGTTTAGGATGAGGATGATGAGGATCATGCTCAGGATTATGATGATGATCATGCGGATGATTGCTGTGATCGTGATTATGATGCTGACGATGGTCATGTAGATGAGGCGAGGATGCGGATGAGGATCAGGATATCGATGATGATGCTTACGATGGTGATGCTGATGGCGATGTTGATGGTGATGGCGATGATGATGCTGATGATGATGATGAGGAGGAGGAGGAGGATGAGGATGAGGATGAGGATGAGGATGAAGATGAGAATGCGGCTGATGATGATGCTGCTGATGATGAGGAGGAAGAGGAGGAGGAGGCGGAGGAGAGTAACGAGGGATGGAGAGGGGGGAGGGAGGAGGTAGGAGGAGATAGGGTGAGGTGGGAGGTAGAAGGGGGGAGGGGGAGGAGGAGGACGGAAAGGAGGAGCAACAGTGTAAACCCAAGACTCGCCAACGATGTTGGAACGAACCCTCCCGCCAAGATTCTTCTTCAACGGCCCCTACAGGGGGCGATTTCCACTGAGGGACAGCCGTGCGAATATCTTGAAGCGTGCCCAAACACCATTCTCAAGACTTCAACGCCACGAGTGATCCTGAATCGCGCCAGAATAGTTTATCTGTTGCGTCACTACCGCGAATCAACGTAGCTGCTGCGCCGTTACAATCCCGATTCGTTCCAGCAAGCAATGTCTGATGCGTTAGCCATGAGAGCCAGTGAGGCAAAACGAATGCGCGCGGCGCCAAGGTGAGAGCCGCCCACATTCTCGCAAATGTGAATGTGCGCGGCCCTAAGGCGAGAGCCGCAGTTTGGAAACGACCCGCCCTCAATTCGTAAACTTCTGGCGAATGTTTAGAACGAATGGGCGCGGAGCTGCGGCGGGAGCCACATTCTGAAATCGAACCGCGTTCAATCCGGGAATGTCAAGCAAGTTTTTACAACGAATGCTCGCGGCGCCATAAGATGAGAGCCACGTTTTGAAAACCACCCGCCCTCAATATGTGAAATTCCTTGCAACTGTTTGAAACGAATGTGCGCGGCGCTTAGGTGAGAGCCACATGTTGAAAACCACCAACCCTCCATGTGTGAAACTCCTGGAAGTCGTTAAATCGAATGTGCGCGGCGCTAAGGCGAGAGGCACATTGTGAAAACCACCTGTCCTCCATTGGTGAAACCCTCGTCAATTTGAAAGCATCAGGGTCATAAATGGTGAGAAAGTCTCAGGCGAAACGCTCAGCCCGCCCTTTTGACCGGCCTCGAGGTGCGCAATGGATGAGTTAGATATAAGAGAGTGATGAAAGGATAATGAGGTGGTTGAGGTGGGGGAGGAGAAGGGGGGTGCAAGAGGCGGAAGATGAGGAGGAGAGATGAGAAGGAGAAGTTGAAGAAGTAGGAGGAGGATGAGGATGAGGAGAGCGGTATGATTATGTTGTCGTTGATGGCGATGATGACGATTATGATGATAATGCTGATTTTGCTGCTGCTGATGCTGATGCTGCTGCTGATGGAAATAGATGATGATGCAGAGGATGACGATGATGATGATGAGGTTTCTTGCAGCTGTGAATCAACTGAACGTTGGCGCCCTGACATCTTACATCGTGCCAACGCACACTCTCTGGAAACGTTAACCATGAGAACCCTGGAGACTGCTGTAAACTCTTAAAACGGATGTGCGCGGCGCTGAGGCGAGAGAAAAGGAGCCGCCATCCATCGGTGAAACTGCTGCAAGTTATTGAGACGAATGTGCGCGGTGCCCAGGCGAGGGCCTCATTTTGAAAACGACCCGCCCTCCATCCGTAAAACTCTGTCAAATGTTTAAAACGAATGTGCGCGGCGCTGAGGCGAGAGCCACATTTGAAAACGGCCCGCCTCCCGTCCTTGAAACTCTTGCGATGTTTAAGACGAGTGTGCGCGCTAAGGCGAGAGCCACATTTGAAAAACGGCCCGCCCTCCATCCGTGAAGTTCCTGTAAACTTTTAAGACGAATGGGCACGGCGCTGAATCAAGAGCAATATTTTGGAAAAGCTCCCGCCTTACATCCGTGAAACCATTGCAAACGTCAAGCTTCAGGACCATCTATGGTAAGGACGTCTCAAGCGAAATGTCCGGCCCGCCCGTTCGCCCAGCCTCAGTGTGCGACAGGGGGGAGTTCTTTTATGAGGAAGATGGGCTGATGATGATGAGACGAGTAGTAGTAGTAGTAGTAGTAGTAGTAGTAGTAGTAGTAGTAGTAGTAGTAGTGGTAGTGGTAGTGGTAGTGGTAGTGGTAGTGGTAGTGGTAGTGGTAGTGGTAGTGGTAGTGGTAGTGGTAGTGGTAGTGTAGTAGTAGTAGTAGTAGTAGTAGTAGTAGTAGTAGTAGTAGTAGTAGTAGTGGTAGTGGTAGTGGTAGTGGTAGTGGTAGTGGTAGTGGTAGTGGTAGTGGTAGTGGTAGTGGTAGTGTATAGTGGTAGTGGTAGTAGTTGTAAGTAGTCGTAGT